CGCGTGCATCATTTGTGTGAAAGATATACTTTTATGAGATATACTTTATTTTATACCATAATATACTTTTTATATTAATAAAGTGTCAACATTCATTGTGAACCGATCCATCAACGCGAAAATACAGTGCGTTCCTTAAACGGCTCGTGCTGATAGACAGAACATATATAAGAGGTTTTACTCCGGAGATGCGTAGTGTTGACCAATCAGAGAGTTGCCACAAATGCAAAAAGCAATATGGCTCTACCTATGATCTGCGACAGATTAAATTTAGGTTATATATAATTGCCACGACTACTCATCAAAATCGTTTCAAATAAGTTTTATATACAATCTCTATTCTCAATATTTGTATCGATCGATTTTTTCGTATTTTTTATTTTCAGTTATTAGTTTTTAATTAGGTTTTGATGAAGAGATCAACAAAAGGAAACTCTTAGTACCTATCTATTGTATATTGTGTAAGAATATCGAAAGATTATTATTGAGAGACTTCGTTTGCAAGCAGACAGAGATCATTCTTTACATCAATTTATCTCATTATTCTGAGCTTAAAACTGTTTTTAAAAATATTCAGGTACAGTTAGAAAATCTTCGATAATTCTCTGCAAGATGAAGAGGTAAACCGCGCCGACACAAAATATTATATCGTAAGCTACTGATTTCTTCTATAGTATATCTTGAAATCCCATTATGAACCACAGTAGTAATATCACTTTATTAAATTAACAAGCAATTTAACAACCCTTTTGATGCTAATAACTAATAAGCATTTTCAAAGAATATTAATAATCAGATGTTAATAAGAATCTTAAAATTTGCGAATAATTTATTGCGAAAAATATTGCCTCAGCCAGGGTTTGAACCTGGAATTTCAGTGATATTATTATTCTGATTTTACTCATGATGGCGTTTCAAGACCGAAAAAAATTTCAGCAGTAATATGCAGAACTACATATGTATATAAATTAACACAGAAATATTTAAGCATTATAAAATCCAGCTTTGACTGAATTTTTAGAAACAAGAATTTTTGTATTTAATTAGATTTATTCTCATTGGTCTAAATTCATATTATATTTACTATTATCATCTTTTAATGCTTAATCAATATTTAAACAAAAGCGTATTACAACTTTATTAATTATTGCATATTTAAAAGGCTTTCAAGTCGTACACTCACCTAATAATATGTGTAAAGGGAAAATATGTCAATATCGTAAATATATCAACGAGAGAAGTATCGAGCGCGTAACTGAACAGAACCCCTTTTTTTATAAAGATATCTGCTTATATTCTCAAGTTATATAAGCACCAACATACTAACGAACATGCTAACGATATAACAACAATGTTTCGATTGACAGCGTAAAGAGTCGTTGTTTATCTCAGAAATAAAATATATTGTAAATCTGTTGATGTAAAAAAGATAAATTTATGGAAAATTGTGAAACACCATTGATCACACACACACACACACACACACACACAATACAGCATGTGTGCATATGTTTAATAAGATTATTAAGCTGCATATTAATTCAGTAAAATGTATAAAAAAAATATATCAATAATACATACCAGTAAGATAAAATGTCCAGCATAGGTGATTGAACGGAACCTCTTTTATTCAGACTTCTCTCTGCTTATATCCTCACTATCAAAGTGTACAAGTATCAATATTCTTCCGGTGTCTTGCGCATAGCCAACAACGGTATACTGGCAATATTATAATCAATAAAATAGCTTTTCTTAACTCATACAAGAAAAGAGAATCGTAAATCTGTCTTTAATAAGTTAAATGAGATGAAATAACCCTAATCTTTTAGAAGAAATAACCCTAACGTTTGGCAATGCAACCCATGCGGTCTCGCGGATCCGTCTTGCCATTCTCTTTGAAGTGCAATTTTCCTTATGTTTATAGTTCGTCTATAGTCATGAGAAACCTAAATTATCATCAATTTCAAACAATTCTATCGAATGACATATTGAATTGACTACAAAATTAGTCGTTAATTTTTCAAATCCTCGACAGACCTACAATACGAATAATAAATGAAAAGATACATAAAAGCAATACTAATACAAGTTGCAATTCTTCAGTTCTAGTTTGGATTTGGCTTGACAAAGTAGAAGGTAAATTCTCTTCCTTTAACTCTGCCCCATTAAAACCGTCATATACACTGAAAAAAAATATAGTCAATTTTAATAAATATTTAGTTGAATACTGCCAACTAAATATGTATTAAATCTAAAGATATATTTATTTGATATAAGAAATATTAATTTGATTTAACAATCTTTTTTTTCACTCAACAAATATTTATTTACTGTAAGTAAATGTTTAGTTGGCAGTATTGAACTAAATATTTATTAAAATTGACTATTTTTTTTTTCAGTGTGCGTACGTTGTACGTATCAAAAACACTGACAGATATTTCCAGCGATATTTCTTAGTTGAAAGTTTTCTAACATAAAATTTTTTCTTGAACCTCGCAGACATTACGCAGCGCTCAATACGACATACATATTTATTCAAATTTTGTACAAAGTGACAATTTTTTTAAATTTATCATTTTTTTTTAGACGTTTAAAATATATTATTCTAAATTTCTGTAACAATAAGTGTTATAATAAAATCATAACGTCACAATGTGACTTATTACTAATTATAAAAATAAAAAATGCTTTCATCCCAGTTTTTATAAGTACAGAATGTTAACATTATTGGATATATTTCCAATTATATTTCGATTGAAGAGACTTAATTGTAATTATTATTATTGTAATTATTGTTAAAGTTACAAGAAAAAAATGGTATTAATAACAAATATATATTAAAAAAATAAAAATCGAAGATATTACTTTTCATTAAAAAAACAAATTTCTTCTCTGCCAATTTTGTATTCCAAAACTTAAATTTCCCTAATATTTAAAAAACATTGGGTTTTGTTAATTTAGAGGGCATTCTTTTGAGTTATATACCAGATGCAGGTACTAAGATGATTAATAAACAGTTGAAAGCGTATCGCACGTATCAACGTTTTCTTCGATCTATGCTTACCATCACTGGTTGTTGGCACATGTCAACGAAGTTCTGCAAATCAATGTACTATTGGTCAGTTTGTGTGTTATTGTTAATGATTTTTTACTCAATGCTAAGCTTGCGTATGATATATATCGCCAGACATAACATGAGGATCATGATGAAATACGTTAACTTCGGAATATCAGGATTGAGCACCGTTCTCAAGGTACGGTTTAGAAGGAAATAGCATTATATAACAGAACAAATTCAGAAAAATATTTTACATGTATACAAAACATTAATAAATTAATTTTTAAATAAATTAATATACACACATTAATATGATTAATAAAATAAAATATAATACAATACACAACGTAACAAAACATAATGTAATATATTGATGCATTAAACTTCAACATATTAAAGAGGTTGCAACATTATATATTTCGATTAATTTAAAAAATAAATACTACTTAACATATATTTTTATGCACATATATTAACATTTTAAAGAATCAACTCAATTTAGAATTGAATGAAATGAAAATTTACAACAGAAATAATTTGTAAAAAAGGAGTGATAATTAGCTAATCGATTAACTTTTTTTATAAACACTATTTCAATAAATATTATTCTTTTGCAACGTCTTTCAAGAAAAGAAAGAGAAATTTTGGTTTGAAATTCAAATATTACAAATTTAAAATCGTGATGTTACGATACTACGTTAATTTCTATGTAATTAACTGATTTCTATTTTTCGCACGGGAAGAAACATGCATCTCTGGTCTTCTTAGGTGGCAAGCTTCATAATAAATCGCGAGTCTTTGATAAATTATCACCGGACGCTCAATGATCTTTTTGAGGAGGAGCTTATGCAAAACGAAAAAATCTCGACAATAATATTTTCGTCCCTGCGCACAATATATACTATGGCATATACATATTTCGCCATTCTGCTATTAATGATGTTTGCATATTATAAGTCTTCGTATATTTGTACGATCCACAATTTTCTCCGCTTTCATCCGTCTACGAACTGTACTCTACCAATCAGCGGGGGATTCGGATTATTCTCGACCAATTCTGACAATTTTTTATATTATCTACGTATGTTCTACGAGCCAGGCCTAATGACACTCACCAGCATGATAACATGCGCTGTCGATACCACTTTTGGCTTTTATGTTTATCAGTTCAGCTCGACACTACGCGCCATAATATCCACTCTCATGAATCCTCTGTCCACTGAGAAGTTCTCGGATCTCCTGAAAACGTGCGCAGTAAAACATCAGAAGCTACTTCAATGTCGCAACTCGCTGGAACATATCTATGGACCCATCGTCTTTTGGCATGTTGTCACCAATGCCATGCTTGTTTGCTTATCGATATACGACTTCACATCAGTATGTAAACATTAATGCAAAATATATAAACGTTTAATTTTGTTATCTAGTCCACTGTGCTATGTACAGTCGTAATCTGTTATAAAATATAGAATCAAAGGCTGCGCTGCGCTTGAAAGTTTTTCACTTCACTAATGGTATTACTTTACACAAATAGTCACTGACATAATATTAATTAAACATTTGCAATAGTTATCGGTCTTTAATTTTCGAAACCTGTCTTCAACTGTGATATACGCTGCAATAAAACTACTTCAAACATATATGTACGCATGGTATGGCACTTTTCTCACAAATGCAGTAAGTTTTTATAATATAGTTTTTATAATCTTCTAGTTTTTATAATCTTTTTGAAAACAATTATTGTAATTCAAAATTTATCATGTTGGGTACGTACATTTAGGGTGAGGATTTTCGTAAAGGAATATACTTCAGCAAATGGCCCAATTCTAATCTCGATCGTCATGTAAGAACAGATATTATTCTGATGATGATACAGAAACCAATGACTGTTAACGCAATTTTTTCTCCCATCGATTTAATCATGTTTATCAATGTAAATATTTAAATTATATTTCAATTTATAAAAAAATAATACTAAAATTAGTCATTTCTTGAATTTTTTAGACGCTGTATATAATATTTACAACTGCATATTTTTCTTATATTAATGTAATTCTAATTATTTCGCTTTCTTTAATAGATGGTGAATGCTGCAATATCCTATTTTTTCCTGTTCAAATCTATGGATAGAATATCATTCAAATATATGGAATAAAGATGGATAGAAATGGATGCTACGTAAGTTTTACAAACACGGGTTAATTCGTAAAATCATGACGTTATTATTGTGTTATTAATATAATCTTAAAAAATATAACAAATATAATTTATTAAGATTTATTTTATTATTATACGATTAATGATTAATCTATATTTAACTCTTTCTTTACAGCACACGTGACTACGAATATGATTCCTTCCTCTGCATAAAGGAGTCTACCGCAAATGTAGGTACACTTGGCATAGACAGAATGAAACATGTGAATAGATAGTATCATAAAGTGTAGATAAAAAAATGAAAGTGTGAATAGATAGTGTCATAAAGTGTAGATAAAAAAATGAATAAAGAAATGACCTTATAATAGATAATGTATAGCCTTATAGATGTATAGATAATGTATAACCTTATAGTTTTTGAGATTGAAGATTAAAGATTGAAATTTGACCAATGAAAACAGAGGAATTTTAACTTCTATATATATTGTTTTGATTGGTCAAATTTCAATCTTTCAATTTTCAATTTCAATTTTCCATACGTAGTCTGATTCCGGTTTTAGCGATATTGCCTACTGTTTCGGATGCGTTTCGGATTATACATGAAATGCAGAATGTATCATTTTATCTTTTTTTTATTATTCGATGAACAACAGAAACAAATGATGCATCATGCGTTTCATGCATAACTCGGAACGCATCCTTCGTTTCCGGGCAAGGCGTGAGGGTTTTACGAATGCAGTCTTTCGAGAGAGTTCGATTGAGCGGTGAGAAGATATAAAGTCGTGCTGACGATCCGATACGTCCGAGTATTCTCTATACGTGAAAAAAAAATCTTAATCGTTTATACCTACGACTGAGAGTATATCCATTATATTTTAAAATGTGTTTATTTTCTCTCTATGTGCCTACGAGCGGAGATATTGCGACTCAAAGTTTGAATGTGTAAAACTTTATTATTTTTTCAAGTATGTCATCGTTATCGCCATCGCCGCCGTAGAGTGGAGGAAATGTGTCCTTTTGGAATTTTTGGCACAAAAAGCACCAGAGTGACGATGGCATATAAGAGGTGCTGGCGATGTATGGTCAGCGAAAATTGCAATTCTTCTTCACCATTCTGCACTATGTACAATCATCAGTGATGCACATAAAGATGCTTCTACATAATTCGCAAATCGCAAAACGTAGTTCGCAAACGCATACGCAGAGTGAAGTTTTGCATTTGTTTTTTCACGCAGTTGATTTTTATCTGTATGTGTCTTGCGTGGGGTGATCATCATTCTGCATAATAATTCTCATGCATGAGTATCTGCGAACTACATTTTGTGATTTGCAAATTAGAAGCACCCTTATGGTTCGGGCACGCCACACTTGGCCTAGTTAAGCGACAGATCTCGATCGTGGTCGACGCGCTAAAGGTTACCGAATGCGAGAAGAACAGACTCTCTTGCAGTCTCGTTTGTTGAGTCGAGCCGAGCGTAGTGTGCTCGGACTCCAACGTGCATTGGCACTGGTGGAAGTGGTGCCAGATTAGAAACAAAATGCGCAAACCGAGAGAAAATACGTATAGACGCACAGCGCATCCCCTGTATTCAGCTCTCGCGTGACTCTCGTCTTGAATCTAGCACTTTGCAGAGACAAATGACATTAAGGGTGATTTCTAACAAGGACACAGTGTAACACAATGATAAACATTACATCCCTGTTGTTCGCCAACATTAAACAAGGATGAAATGATTTACTGTTATACTGTGTCCTTACTGGAAAATCGTCTTATGACAGTTGTATGTACATACGTATTTAAGTGAGATTACTTGTATATATACACTGTAAAAGATAAAATGTTAATTTTAACTTAAAGACGTTTAGTGGACTTTCGGAGACATACAAAAATGTTAAAATTAACACAAACATTAATTTTAACATTTTTGCATGTCTCAGAAAATCCACTAAACGTCGTTAAGGTAAAATAAACATTTTATTTTTTACAGTGTAAGGTTAATTAGTGCATAAAATAAAAACTGTTCATCAAGATCACTTTTCAGATAAGTTTTATATTAATTCTAAATATTTCGTTATATCTAAATCGATTCTATGTATTGTTCTTTATTTTCAGTTATCAGTGGTTTTGATGAAAAGCCCAATGAGAAGAAATTATCTATACTGTGTAAGAATATAGAAAGACTATTATCTCAAGCCTTCGTCTACAAGCCGACAGAGATCGATTTCCTTTACACATTAATTCATACTACAATATTCTGTGCATAAAAATACAAAAGTACGATTATAAAATTTTATAATAATTCTCTGGAAGACAAAAAGGTAAACCGACATAAAATATAAAATATTATATCGTAAGCTGATTTTTCAATAATATACTTTACAATACCATTATGAGCAGAATCAGAGTAGTATCATTTTTTTAAATTAACAAGTAGATATTTAATAACTTTTTTATGCTGAAAAGCATCTTTAAAGCATGTTACTAATAATTAGATAGAAATCTTAAAATCTGCAAATAATTTATTGCAAAAATGATGCCAGTTAGAATTTGAATCTGGAATTTCAGTGATATTACTACTTTGATTCTGCTCATGATGGCATTTCAACACCGAAAAAGATTTTAGCGCAGTAAAATGCAAAATCAGATATGTATATGAATTCCCACAGAAATATTTAAGTACTAAAATCCTGCTTTGACCAAATATAGAAATTTTTTTATTTAACTAGATTTATTCTCAGTGGTATAAATTCGTATTATACTGTTTACCATTATATTCTTAGTGTGTGTGTGTGTGTTTAATCTATATTTAAATAAGATGGTGTTACAACTTTCCTAATTATTGCGTTTATTATATAAACGCAATATTTTATATAAATGCATTATTATATAAAAGGCTATTAAGCCATGCACTAGTAATATAAATAAAGAGAAAATAGGTCAATATCGTAAACATATTAATGAAAGAAGTATCGAGCAGGTTATTGAACAGAACCTTTTTTTATAAAGATATATGCTCATATCCTCAAGTTATGTAAGCATCAATATACACGATGCTAATGATACAACAATGTTTCGATCGACAGTGTAAACTATTTTGTCTCAGAAATACAAATAATCGGTAACCTCTTTGTTGTAAAAAAGATAAATTTATAAAAAATTATCATCGTCGATCAATATAGCGTGTGCACACACGTATATGTTTAATAATATTATTAAGCTGCACTTAATTCAGCAAAATGTATTAAAAAATATATATTAATAATATATATATACCAGAAAGATAAATTGCCAAGTATAGGTGACTGAACGGAACCTCTTTTATTCAGACTTCTACTTATATCTTCACTCTACCAGAGTCTTAAGTGTATAAGTATCAATATTCTTACGGTGTCGTGCGCATAGTCAACCACAGTATACTAACAGCATTATGATCAATAAAATAGCTTTCTGGACTTATATAAGAAAAGAGAATCGTAAATCTGTCCTTAATAAGTTAAATAAGGAGAAATAACCCTAATCTTGATGCGTTTTGCAGTGCAACCCATACGGTCTGGCGGATCCGTCTTGCCATTCTCTTTGAAGTGTAATTTTCCTTATGTTTATAATTCATCTATAGTCCTAAGAAACCTATAGTCCTAAGAAATTATATTCCATTTCAAACAATTCTATCGAATGATATATTAAATTGACCACAAAATTAGCCATTAATTTTTCAAATTCTCGATAGACAATATCTACAATGCGAATAACAGTCAATGAAAAGAAACTTGAAAGCAATAATAATGCAAGTTACAATCCTTCAACAGTTTGGATTTGACTTGGCAAGGTAGAAGGTAAAGTCTTTTCCTTTGACATCGCATGATTAGTATACAGAGAAAATTTTATGTTAAGTTTTAATACAATTTTAAATTACACTTTACTATGTCTTGTATTTTCGATGGACTCTCACAATATGATTCCGACTTAACTTTTACTATGGCAATACTAATTTTTATTACATAAAGTAATTATTTTGTTAAGTCATATTCTAACATGAAAACAGTTAATTTTTACTATGGTACGCAAACAAAATTTGCTAGGTATATTTGATTTTGTAATAAAAAATTTTTACTATGAAAAAGTGTAAAAATTACGTTATATTATTGTTTTTAAAAAAATAACTATAGCATTTAAACTTATAATTTACATGAAGATCTACTATCACATTATAGTAATTTTAAATATAAAATTTTCTCCGTGTAGTAAAATCGTCGTATTCTATCTATCATAAACACTAACAGATATTTCCAGAGACATTTGAAAATCTTCTAACATAACAATTTTTTCTGGAACATCGCAGACATTATGCAACGGTCAATACGACATATGTGTTTATTTAAGTTTTATACAAATTGACGGTTTTTTTAAATTTATCATTTTTTTAAACGTTTGAAATAAATTATTCTAAATTTCTGTAACAATAAAGGTCGTAAAATTATAAGGTTACACAATGTGACTTACTATTAGTTATAAGTATAAAGAATGCATTTATCTCAGTTTTTATAAACACGCAGGTTCGGAATATTAACATTATTGGATGTCATTAATTATACTTCGAATACGATTAAAGAGATTTAAATGTAATTATTATTATTGCAATTATTGTTAAAGCCACAGGAAAAATCAGTATTAATAACAAACACATATTCAAAAAATAAAAATCGGAGGTATTTCTTCTTATTAAAAAATTCAAATTTTGTCTGTGTCAATTTAAACTCCAAAACTTGAATTTCACTGATATTTAAAAA